GGGATGTCAAGAATGACAGATCTGGGTCTGTCTGAGTACAGTCTCTTAAACATTGGCATTGTCTATGTGGGTTACTTTTTTGTCCTTTCCAGAACTGACCTCTAGGTCAAGAGGGTCGTAGGTACGGCACGTATCTCATTGTATCTCCGTTCTGGTGTTCCACACTGTTTTTTCTGGCAGCTAGAGGTGGGCAAAATCCTGATAACATATCCGGATAACGGGATCATTCTCAATGAAACATTGTCCGAATTCAGACTCTTAAACTCTCTTTCCTAACCCGTTTGCCGAAGTGGGTGCACCCATTTGTTGATGTGGTTTTAACCCGCTTGTCGAAGTGGTTCTAACCCATTTGCCGAAGCGGTTCATTACATATTTAATTGCCGAAAAAGTGCACTAACACATTATCCGGATTTTGCTAAAGCGACTCATTGCCCAGCCCTACTGACAGCCGGGAGCCACGCCAAGGAATCGGATCTCAGAATCGGAGATTATCTAACCGCCGCAACCATTTCCTGGAATGTCTTACCGTTACCTTGTTCTGGCTGGTTTTCATTCCTTTCTGTCTTCCTTCTTATACGCCGGCATCGTCATCCTCGTCTCTCTCCTCCTCCTCTTCTCCTCGTCTTCTTCTTCTTCCTCCTCCTCGTCGTCTTCTTCTTCTTCTTCCTCCTCCTCCTCGTCGTCGTCATCATCATCATCATCATCATCGTCATCATCATCATCATCATCATCATCATCATCATCATCATCATCATCATCCTTGTCGTTGTCGTCGAGTCTTCTATTGTCTAGATTATACCCTTAAAACGGGTGATCGACGTTTAGTCTATCGTTTCTTACCGAGAACAATATAAAAGCTGTGGCAATAAATGCTGCCAGAATTATTTTTTCCAAATGCTCCAGGATACAGAGTAGTATTTACTTTCCCTCGTAGTCGTCGTCGTCATCGTCGTCGTTTTCGTCGTCTGCATGCACCGGCACCACCTCCTCAACAACAGCGCCGCCTGTTAATGGGAAGCAAACCTCCTTCCTTGGAATACTTCAGCGTGGGTGGTTGGCGTGTGCTCTAGTGTGGTTTGCTTCTTCTTTCCTATCAAACAAACATCTATCATCTTTATCTCCCCTCCTTCCTTTTGGTGTTTGTTACTCTCTTGTAACACCCTACTCTTCGGCACTTATATGACCTTTTCCTATTGCAAGTGACGTAAAACACTTACTAAAAAAACCCACCTCAGCTGCAATAAGTTAAAACTAGATACATCACACCCCGACGTCTCATGCTTGCATCCCGTGCCGTTAGATCTGCATTACACTCCCGCCTAAAACGCTTTTGTTTTCCCCCTCCCATCCCTCCTCCTTCTATTTCTAGCTCCCACCCCCTGCCTCCAGTCTTCTGACAATATTATTTTCGCTACAGCTGGTCTTCTTTTCTGTCCTTATCTTATTCTCTCTTTTTCTATCTATCTCTCCCGTATTCTTTTTTCTCTCGTTCTCTCTCTCTCTCTCTCTCT